AGAGAAGGGACTGCGACGCCGATTTACGATCTATAAATCTCTTTTCGGGCCAAACATCCCCACCCAGAGAAGATATACCCTCCGCGATCGATTCGCCGATTCTCGCGAAGATGTTCCCGCAGGATTTATTCCGGACGACTTTTATGTAATCTCGCGATCGATCCTCGCAGACGTTCTTGCGAGACGCGTAAGAAGCTTCTGCGTCAGCTCTGCCTCCTTATGGATGCCGGGGAATAACATTTTACGAGGATATTTCCTCCGATGCGGGACTTTCTCGTTGCCGACCGACGTTACTGAAATATCAATGCTGTTTGCCGGCGTGCACTCTCTCTCTTCTCCGATCTATTTTTGACGATCCGGATCTTCCCTGTAATTTCCTCGATCGCTCCGGCTACGAATTTTCACGGAGACCGTCCCTCTCGGTTTTATGGTTTATAGAGAGGCATTCGAACGTTTCCTCGCCGAACAGCGAAAGAGTATTACTCGTCGATTCTGTTCGAGTTTCGCTAATAGAATGTTCCACGTTGAGACGACGAGTTCCAAAGAAGTTTTAAGAGTTCTCGTATCTCCATCCGGAATTTTCCACGTTCAGATGTTCCGCCGAGATTCCGCCTTCGCCGCGATGTTTCTTTGAAGATACAGACGGTTAGATGACATCGGCTCTTCATCTCTCCATCGACGTAACAACCTCGACTAAAGGAGCCCTCGTAAAACCCCTAAGCAATCCTATAAAGAATTCATCCAACCACCCACTGCTCCAGCCGCTGTATCAGGACACGAAGAATCCATTTCCCGCGTCTCCATAATTCCCGATTCAACTTTCGACCCCTTGACGCGCAACGATGTCGCGTATTTTTTTACGTCATTGCACACGTTGACGTAAAATATTATCTAATATTCTCGCGATAAAGCAAAAATCACAGCGTTTTATTTGCGCGAAGGTCCTCGAGCGAGAAGTTATTTAATTTGCATGTACAGGTATAATTCACCAGAAATGACCAAAAAACTGAATGTTCCTAAAACAATCGTCCACTTATTGTACAATAAAATATGGTTGAATACTGACTTTTCAATTTCGACTTCGTTAATGAACGTATCGAGAGCCAGAATCTTTCTCGAACGAGTATAAAAAGGGCATTCAGACAATTGTTGCTCATCATGGTGGTCGAGGTAATGACCGACTGCGACGGAATCGATCCCCGAGCAACCAATTAAAACCGACTGGAGGCGAGGCACATAAAAATCCTACGAAATAAAAAGAATTTGAAGGACCGCGATGGGGTGCGTGCGATCACGCACGCGTTTCACGGTGGTTCCCGAGTCCTGAGGGGAGGCTGAATTCTGTGGTGCCCCGTGGTACTCGTGGATCGTGTGGGCTCGCGTGACCGAAAGTTTGCCGTTGCCCGGGGTGGGAACTCTTGGCGTCAAGTAAAAGAGAAAGAGAGAGAGAGAGAGAGAGAGAGAGAGAGAGAGAGAGAGAGACAGGAGGACCGGGTAATTAGGAGCGATTACGGTACGCGTTCGAGCGGACACCGTGGGATCATGGGAGGGGGAGAACGCGAGCTCGTTGATTATAAAGTGGTAAAACCGAGAGGGTATACTTTGTCGTGAAGTCATCGGCCGATCCCGAAGGACGTAATTACATGGATCCCGGACGATCTCGCCTGACAGCCGAGACACACTCGCGCCCGGGATCCCGCCCCGAGAAATTGCTTCGTTTTCTTCCTCTCTTTCTCCTTTTCTTTCTCTTTCTCTCTTTACGATCTTTTTCCTCGTTCGGTCCATCCCCCTTTCACGCGGTTTCTCCTCCCCTCGATCGAAGAGCATTGACTCCGGACAGGAAACACGGAAGCTGTTTGTCCTTGGCAATCCCATCAAATTTCGAACTGTTTCCTACATGCTATCTCATCTCCAACAACATCGGTTACCAATCGGAGTTGTAATAAAATTTAATTCGAATAATATCTCGTGTAGATCCGTCGAGTAAAATTCGAGCCTCCTTTAATTTCATCCGATACTCTACAATGGTGAACGGTAAATGAAATCGTGGTATTCTTCTTCGAATCGAATGAAGAATTGCAAACGATTAATTTTTCCATCCGAATCGAGGGGGTTAATATTCGTACGTCGAACGAAGATCGGGCGCAGCGTGACAAATCGCAGCTCGCGTACGATCAAGAGACACCCTAATTCTAATTAATCGTGCTGCTCCCAGACACTCGTGGAATCGCTCCGACCATTGAACCACCGGGCCTGCAGTCGCCGCATGATCTCGTAAAGCCTCAATTACCCTCGTTGCCCGATCACAATCAAGATTACCGCCAGGAATCCCTCCGCGCCCCTCGAAGCGACTCGGTTCCGTAAACACTATTTCCCCTTTGTCCTCGCGGCCGACGATTTTCCATTTCCGAGTTCGCCCTCGGAGATTGCCAACGGTTTCGATGACGCGAGGAGACTGCGCGAAGCACCGTGACAAAGAGCCTAAATAATTACCGGAGCCCCCGGGAATATTACAGATCGGACTGCCGCCGATTCCTTCTGCAGTTTATTCGACGATTCCGACGAGCCCGACGCGTTGTTTAAGATTATTCGGTCTCGTTACACGCCGGATGCTCTCTTAATGCCGCCCCCGTCGACGATCTAATTAACGGGTAAATAAAACGTGTAGAACGGGGGCCAAGGGGTGCGAGACAAGAGGGTAGTTAGAGGGGAATGGGATCCGGGGCGGCAGCTCGTGGCGGAGTTTACGAGCGACTCGAAGATAGCGGTCGCTCGTGCAAAGAATGGGAAACTTGCGACATTCGGGGGCAATTGCCGGTGGAATCGTCGCTGGGAACTATGGGGTAGTTGCGAGATAATTATCGCGAGGCTCTTGGGAAGTGTTTCCGCGATAAAGATGTTTATAAGGGGATTAAGCCTTCGGGCGAACAGCATCGCCCGTTACAATATCGTTTGCAGGGATGTTGATCGNCAGAATCTTTCTCGAACGAGTATAAAAAGGGCATTCAGACAATTGTTGCTCATCATGGTGGTCGAGGTAATGACCGACTGCGACGGAATCGATCCCCGAGCAACCAATTAAAACCGACTGGAGGCGAGGCACATAAAAATCCTACGAAATAAAAAGAATTTGAAGGACCGCGATGGGGTGCGTGCGATCACGCACGCGTTTCACGGTGGTTCCCGAGTCCTGAGGGGAGGCTGAATTCTGTGGTGCCCCGTGGTACTCGTGGATCGTGTGGGCTCGCGTGACCGAAAGTTTGCCGTTGCCCGGGGTGGGAACTCTTGGCGTCAAGTAAAAGAGAAAGAGAGAGAGAGAGAGAGAGAGAGAGAGAGAGAGAGCGAGAGACAGGAGGACCGGGTAATTAGGAGCGATTACGGTACGCGTTCGAGCGGACACCGTGGGATCATGGGAGGGGGAGAACGCGAGCTCGTTGATTATAAAGTGGTAAAACCGAGAGGGTATACTTTGTCGTGAAGTCATCGGCCGATCCCGAAGGACGTAATTACATGGATCCCGGACGATCTCGCCTGACAGCCGAGACACACTCGCGCCCGGGATCCCGCCCCGAGAAATTGCTTCGTTTTCTTCCTCTCTTTCTCCTTTTCTTTCTCTTTCTCTCTTTACGATCTTTTTCCTCGTTCGGTCCATCCCCCTTTCACGCGGTTTCTCCTCCCCTCGATCGAAGAGCATTGACTCCGGACAGGAAACACGGAAGCTGTTTGTCCTTGGCAATCCCATCAAATTTCGAACTGTTTCCTACATGCTATCTCATCTCCAACAACATCGGTTACCAATCGGAGTTGTAATAAAATTTAATTCGAATAATATCTCGTGTAGATCCGTCGAGTAAAATTCGAGCCTCCTTTAATTTCATCCGATACTCTACAATGGTGAACGGTAAATGAAATCGTGGTATTCTTCTTCGAATCGAATGAAGAATTGCAAACGATTAATTTTTCCATCCGAATCGAGGGGGTTAATATTCGTACGTCGAACGAAGATCGGGCGCAGCGTGACAAATCGCAGCTCGCGTACGATCAAGAGACACCCTAATTCTAATTAATCGTGCTGCTCCCAGACACTCGTGGAATCGCTCCGACCATTGAACCACCGGGCCTGCAGTCGCCGCATGATCTCGTAAAGCCTCAATTACCCTCGTTGCCCGATCACAATCAAGATTACCGCCAGGAATCCCTCCGCGCCCCTCGAAGCGACTCGGTTCCGTAAACACTATTTCCCCTTTGTCCTCGCGGCCGACGATTTTCCATTTCCGAGTTCGCCCTCGGAGATTGCCAACGGTTTCGATGACGCGAGGAGACTGCGCGAAGCACCGTGACAAAGAGCCTAAATAATTACCGGAGCCCCCGGGAATATTACAGATCGGACTGCCGCCGATTCCTTCTGCAGTTTATTCGACGATTCCGACGAGCCCGACGCGTTGTTTAAGATTATTCGGTCTCGTTACACGCCGGATGCTCTCTTAATGCCGCCCCCGTCGACGATCTAATTAACGGGTAAATAAAACGTGTAGAACGGGGGCCAAGGGGTGCGAGACAAGAGGGTAGTTAGAGGGGAATGGGATCCGGGGCGGCAGCTCGTGGCGGAGTTTACGAGCGACTCGAAGATAGCGGTCGCTCGTGCAAAGAATGGGAAACTTGCGACATTCGGGGGCAATTGCCGGTGGAATCGTCGCTGGGAACTATGGGGTAGTTGCGAGATAATTATCGCGAGGCTCTTGGGAAGTGTTTCCGCGATAAAGATGTTTATAAGGGGATTAAGCCTTCGGGCGAACAGCATCGCCCGTTACAATATCGTTTGCAGGGATGTTGATCGAAAGAGAAATTAGTCTCCGTCTGTCGCAGGTATCGTTAGTCGTGGATTAAGAAAAATGGTCCGACGATCGTGATGCTTGTTCGAGTTAACTCCGCGCCTCGGTAAAATGGGCTTTCGCGGAGCCGATGCTCCGCGGGAAGGGTGGCAAGCAGAGTCTAATTACCTCGAATCGTCGGAGACGAGTCCGCAACGTCGGTGGCCAGGTCAACGAGGTCCTCGAGGCCCCCTCCGTCGCCCCCGCAGTCCATCATGGTGTTCTGTAACAGAAAGATCTGTTAAAAAGGCCGTTAAAAAGCTGCAAATTAAAAAATTAAAAATAATCGGACCGTCCCGTTTTAGGGATCGTCGTTAGTGTGTTCTATCTCTTTTCAGAAGCAAGCAAGCCAAATAACGTTTATGTCAAGATTATTCGCCAAGCAATTCGCTACAAGTTAATTCCGACAATCCTGGAATATTGAATCCGACAAACGTCGGATCCGATTTTTACCTGATTTTATTCATTAAAAAACAAACAACGTCGGCTAACTGGATTAAGGGAGTAGCGGAACGATGTCTCGGCGAAACAAGCTGTCCATTAAGCCGTCCGGGACAAGTTGCTCCAACAATAAACCATAAAACAAAAACACAGAGCTGCTCCGCTCATTCCCGACTCCCGACTCCCGACACGGGCTCAGAATACATCGCAATTAAAACTTAATTACGCTGCCCTGTCAATCGCGGAAGAACTGACAGCTTCCGACGCCGCTCCGGACGCATCCGAGTGTAGCATTCCGAATAATTTCGATCATCGACGCGATCTACAATCAATCCATCGGCTCTGGAATGGGGTACAGGGGGCATCCACGGTTTCCGCGGAATAATTCCGAGAAGGTAGAGCGAAGAGGAGAGCGTTTAATATAGTCATAAAACCGGGAAGACACGGCAACGATCGTCCAGGGAATGCAAAAGAAAAGATCGCCGCGCCGCGCCGTGACGCTTCGAAATTGCCGTGTGTGCGTACAGGTAGGAGATCTGGGAAGAGAGAGAGAGAGAGGGAGGGAGGGAGAGAGAGAAAGGAGGAGAGGAAAAAAGAAGAGCAGCCGTCAGAAGGGTTAACGAGATTCCTTGCGGTTGTCAGCGCTTCCTGGGGCCCGGGGATCGTTCCCAAAATTGAAACGTACAAAAAGCAGGCGGTCGTATTAAGCGGCCGGTGGCCGGCCGGCGGTCGCATTAAGGTGGCACTTTGTAATCGGTGTACGCTCATTACGACTTTCTCCCGGAATAAGCGTTATTCGTAACGAAATTACACGATACCGCCCGGTCCACGCGGCCGGCGAACGTTTAATTATACCTTCCCCCGATTTTTCCATAAAAAACCTCGCCCGACCGGCCCGCTAATTCCTGCTGTTCGTTAACCGGCGAATTAAACTGCTCTGCTATACCTATCCCTTCTCTCTCTCTCTCTCCATCTCTCCCTTTTCCTTTCTCTCGCCTCTGGTTCTTCTCGCAGAAAACCGTTCTCCACCGTCGTCGACGACGACCGGACCGTGCACAGAAAAAAGAAAAACGGGGATCGGGTAACTGCGGCGCAGGATCGGCCCGAGAGTGGACATTACAACGTCGTTGTCCGGGATCTTTATAAAGTGCCGGCATCTGGCCCGAGAAAGCGAGAATTTGCGATCGACAACGTGGGAACTAACGATAAGAGTGGAACACGAGAGATCCCCGATCCACCGTTTCCATCCACCGTGACTGCGTCCATCGCGTCCCATTCTTCTCTCATTATCCTGGCCCGATTTTCGGCCGTTTTGTCCCAAAACTTGGCTACTCGATTTCCATAGGCATCCTCTGTCATTTGCTTTTACTGCAGATTTTTCGGCAGAATTTTTCAGCTCTTTACGCTTTTTACGCTCGGGACAAAAGTTAACCTAGAAATTTCTACATTTTCTATACCTTCAATTTTACCTTTTCTATGCTTTACTGGGCTGCAGATTTGTCTACAAACATTTTTCCGCATTATTCACCGAGCACGTATAAAGGGTTTTAGCAGATTTTATATTTTTACAATTTTCTGCAATCTTATTTCTTTCTTTACGATTACTACAGATTTCTGCATAAAACGTTCTTGGTACACTTTCCTGCGATTTAGAGGATCTTTAAGCCAACACTTAACTATTAAATTTCTATAATTCTTCTCAATTGTCCGGTTCCTCTAATTTTATTTTAAAGTCGTCGAGATCGTAAACATAGTAATAAAGTGGCGAAAGGTCTGAACAAATGCAATCTCTCAATTAGTTTGAACAGCAACAGCACAGGACGTACCGCATTAGTAAAAAAAATAATCTGACCATCGAAGTACCTAAATCACTTTTGCCCTAGCGTGGATACTAATTCGGAAGAGTGTGCAGAAAAGGACGTTGGGTATGCAATAGTCATAGACTTTCGGGTTTTACCGTTTCGCTACCGAGCGGTCGGTTTATGGCTGACCTTGGTAAATTCGGGAAATTTATTGCAACGGTCGGCCGAGGGTGATTCGGTGGTGGCCGCGTGAAAATGCATAGCACCCAGTGACCCAGAGAGACCGGGCAATAAACACTGGAAAGCTGTACAATGGCGGATGTTATTGTGTCGACGATGGTTTCTACCGATTTTTCCAGGGTCGCCGTGCCGGGCTTAGTTTTACGGTAACCCTCGGAGACGGTCCCTCGAAGATCGAAAAACTGCTGGCGAAGAGAGAGCCTGGAGATTTATTTCCCGGAGAACACGACGCGGCGAGAGATCACCGGGGGGTGAACGCTGCTTTCACCGTAGAAAGCGATGGGGTTCGGAATTAAAACGGGGAGGTCTCCGTGACGTTCAGCTCCTCCGCTTGTTACCATTCTTCTGATCCTCGGGCGCCTCAACGAACGATTTCAAGTGAGTAACGTTGCTTTTATTTCGTACTTTATTCCGAGCTTTTATAGTTTCGCTTCTTGAAATATGCCCGGGAAAGCTGCTTGCGCTAAAGCGAGGCTTTTGTTGCCATTCTCTCTCTTTCTATAGACCTTAATGAGCCACTTTAAATGAATCAGATGATTCTACTCTTTCATTTCCACGCTTTATTTTATATTTTCCATTGTAACCGAAAATACGGAAGATCCTGCGAGAACGAAAATTACAGTTACGAATATTTTCATAACTATTGTTACGATACTTTTGTTTCGTGAAAGTTCCTGTCGAATTGTTCCGCGGGAAAGCTTTCACGGATTGTTAAAACATTTTTAAAACGCGCTGCGCGCTATGAGGTGGAACAATGGATGCGTTCTAGCGCTGCTCCGTTGACGATTCTCCATTTTTGAAGGCGCCTCGTTCCTTCGGATGATGAGAAATACGGTTTTCGACGTGTTCCAGGAAACTTTTGGCAAACGGTCTGTTGAAATATTTGAGAAACGTGCCCCGCGTTATACAGCGAGGAAGAATCGTTCACGACTTGTATTCGCTAAAGCGCATCGCGTAATCGTTTGTGGCCACGTCGCGGGCATAATTCGCGTATCAATTTGTTCGACTTCACCGGGCACAATGGGTTTCGTTAACGCGGAAGTTTTTATTTCGCCGAGCGAGACATTAATAAAACAATCTTCCCGCCGATACGAACGAAGCTCGTGAATCGTATTTTCCAAGCGGGGACTGTCAATGAATTAATTCGGCCAGCGAATTCAAATCAGCCGCATTAATCTCGCGACACTTCCGCGCTCGTTACTCTCTCGAGCCGGCATAAATTTTCGATGAATAAAATCAATTCGGCCCTCGTAAAGTATTCACGCCCATTCATTCCGATCTGTTCCACTTTATCGACCGTTCTCTGCGGCCGGGATCCGCGATCTTTTCACTTCCATGGTCGTTCTTTATCGTCATTGTCGCCCAGAGGTAGCAACTAATTGTAAGGTTTTCGCGCTCGAACGACGAAGGGCCCGTGCGTCGTTTAAGAGCCTCGGGAACGTTACAGAAAATTTGACAGTCCTTAATGATTTCGTTGTCGAACAAGGTAATTCCCGCGCTGACACGTGAGCGAATTAAAAAACCTGGCCCGATCATTTCGTGGCCAATGAGGGCTCTTAAAGTGGACGCGCATTAATCACGGCCGCAAAAAAGGCCCCGATTCTCTCGGGTATCGCGTCGCAGAATGCAGATGCGCTCCGCTCGCAAGTTGTCTTCCAGTTGCTCGCAGACGAGCCTCCGAACGTTTCGACAACAAGCGAACAAATTTTTCAACTATATTTTGTTAACCAATTCCAGATTTCCGTGTACAGTAACGTTCAGAAATATTAAACACGCGTTGAATTTATAGGTATATTTTCAAGTTAACTTTACAAAATTCTGTCGAATTCGCCGCTCAGATTTAAAGCACCACTGCTTGGATACGTTGAACAGGTTTTTGCGGATGGGCATTTTTTATCGAGTCGAGTAGAATTTTGTGTCCAGCCAGAGAAGAAAGATAAACCATAAAAATTATCATTGAAACGATCTTTTTATCTGATTCTTATTATTGCATAAAGTAATCTGCTCGATAATGCCAATAAAGCGAGAAGATTTCGAAGCATTGATACCGGTGACAGTATTTATGGCAAAGGGTTGAAGAAAAATATAGAACCGAATAAAGCAGCAACAGCGCCGAAGTTCCGAAGAATTTTTAGTTAGTCGTTTTACGAGAATTCGTTGGCACGACGTATAGCCATCAAGAGCAGCTCGGAACTGTTTATTAAAATCGTTTATTTTATGCCACGAGTGTTAAGGAGACTTTAACGACCGTCATAAATCGTTCGATTACGATGCCACGCTACCGAGTGTTCCGTTGTAATCAAACCGGGTAAACGTTCTCGTTCGATTGATTATTTCGTTCGGCCGTCTCGATGCCGAGGGGGGAGAGCTATGGGGGCAGAGACCGAAGTAAAGGCTAATTAATTACAAATTATTCCGGCTTCCTGGTCTCGCGGCGTCGCATAAAAAGAGGATTTGCATCGAGAGTGTGTCTCGGGCGGCAGGCGTATTTTCTGATGGACCAGGAAACGCGATTTCGGGCTGTTGGCCCACAAAGTGCCTCGGAATATGTAAATCCTCGGCCGAGTCCTTCTTCCGCGGGACCCCGGAGGCCCCGTAATTAAAGAGGATTGCTCAATTTATGCGCGATTAAACGTAGACCGGATCGATCGGGGCTCGCTTCATTATAATTTCAAAAAAGGCGACTCCCTTCGAGGCCCGTCCGTCCAAAGCCGCTACACACCGGCCACGAAAAAATCAG